TATTATTTTATTTTTTGAATATTGTCTTATGTTTGTTTATTTTGTAATTGCAGGCTATAATTCCTGCCTTAAGGCCTATCTACCTTACGGCCTAACTGTCTGCCACAGTTATGCTTTACTGCTGCTAGTAGTTTACTGTTTAGTGCTGGGGTAATTTAGGTTATTTGAGGGTTGATTAATTATTTAGTAGTGCGTATATATAGTTTTTGTTTATTTCTAAGTTTATTTTCGTATTCACCTATATTTTTATTGCTTTGTAAGTTGGTTGTAAATAAAGTGTATATAAGTTTGTTTTATAATTGTAGTTTGTTATTTTCTCTTTAGTTAGCTAGTTTCGTTTAGTTTAGTTTAATTGTGCTGTCTGGTTGCTTAGGCGACTCTAGCCCCTTGGTCGCAGACCGAGGTGCACAGATTGGGCCCACCCAGTAGAGCTACCATCTGCCTACTGTTATAAATGAAAAAATGTTGAGTAGCAGATAACAGAATAGGGCCTCACTCAGTAGTGCCACCCTGACCTGCTCACATATTGTTAAACGTATTAAGATTATAGATTGTGTAAAGATTAAGGATTGTCTAAATATTAAGAATTGGGCAGATTCTCACAAAGGGACGCAAAACAGCTATGGGTTACATCTGTGACCCGCAGGTGTGCTTCACTACGTGCAAAGCCATTTGGTCGATCTGCTGAGGGTCGATTTAATATCTACTTTCTTCACAGTCACCACACTCAATATGCAAACCTCTTAAGCCAACATTTTTTTTTTCAAAAGATTAATTTCAGAATAGCTCTACAAGGAGCTCACATTTTTAATCCATTGTATATCGTTATAATTATAACTACCGGTATGCTATCTCGTTGTTATTTCGTTTTTCTTGTAGGATATAGAGCTATTATTATTCAAATTTACGTATCTGTGCAATAATTTGTACAGCACATTTGTCTGTTCTTCCTTACGCCCATTAAGTGGCACTACCCCAAATAATGAATCCCCTTGCCCAGACGGTTTGACATACGATTTTTACAAACTTTTTTCCCCCAAAATAGGACCCCTACTACTAAGTCTATACAGTAACATGTTAGAAACAGGACAGACACCTACATATTTTAATCTTGCATATATCACCTAAAACAAAACAATAACCCTAAAAACAGCAGAACACTTCGTGACTTTCGACCCAATTTCCTCTCTAGATAAGGACTATAAACTTCCGGTAAAAAAATGGTTTTTGAAGAACTAAGCTCCGTATAGCCCATAGGACAAGACCAGTATTGTTGTCAACCCGACAAGAGAAAGCCTTTGGCAAAGTCGACACTAGTTTACTTATTTCAAATACTAGACAAGACAGACATAGACAACACGTACATTTTCTCATTACTTGAGAAAAGTACATTAGCCCTTAAGGCGCGTGTGGTAGTTAGCCTCCATTGTTTCTGCATTCATTGTGAAACAGCTCAGCACTTTAAGGGTTAAGCTGGTCTACACACGCCAACGTATAATAAACCAAACATTTTGCATTAGAATTCCCGTTAGAAGATCCGCTAGGCAAGGTTGCCCCCTATCCACTTTTTTTTATACACCCTTTGCCTAGAACCCCTGTTAGAAAATATTAGATAGACTCAGGGGGTTCTCAACCTGTGGTTCGTGACCCCCTTGGGTCGCCTAAGACCATTGAAAATATGGACTGTTATTGTCTATTCCTCTATTGATGTGGGTGTGGGGGGTCGCCTTGGAAAAATCTAGTAAGATAGCATCTTATTATAAGTTGCGTGGGACACACCCGGCCCGCGACGTGGCTTTATCCTGCCCACCTAAACATCGGCACAAAGTGAAGAAATTTTTAAAAAAGGTTGAAAAATATATTTGTTATTACGTTAGGACTCTAACTTTGTCTTGGATAGATTTGATTCTAATGTAGTATATTCTAATTCTTATATTATTACTTATTGAAATGAACACGACGTTTGTTTTTTCGATGACAAGTGTTGAGAGTTATTTGAGATTCTTGGATAACTCTCGCTATTCCTATTCCCACTGAAGATTGTTCCGACATATCTGCCAATCGAGCTGAATTCCTTACAAAGCCAGACATCATTGCTTGAGAAATTTAGAGCGATGCAGAGTAGACAAACGTTTGACTAATAAAACAGATGAAACTGATCTTACATAATTGCCATACGTGTGTACAAAGCCCAAATAGTGCTACGGGTCTATAATAAAACCATTTAAAATGGTTTATTCTCTATTTCTTTTTTTTTTTTTTTTTTTGTATCTATTCGATGATGTGGCCCGCGACAGGAGTGTCGGAAATTAAACTGGCCCGTCGGCCGAAAATAGTTGGGCACCACTGTTTTAAATATTTAAGAGTTGGCAAGGCATCCTTCACCTACTGGCCCGAATCACAAAGTCCACAGTAACACTTGCAAAACTCAAAAAACAAAATGGAAAGACAGAGGCATAGCCCTCGACAACAAAATCAGACTGATTCCCTGGTCATTGCCACATTCTTAAAAGCTTGCGAGTCTTGGACGCTGACTGAAAGCTAGAAAGAAGGATCCTAGCAATGGAATTGAAAGGATTCTAGGTATTACATTCAAAAACCGCATCACAAACGAAGAGATTTGAGACAGGGTTATTACAGCGATTGGACCCCATGATGACCTGCTAACTATTGTAAAAAACTAAAACTTTCGGGCCATGTATTTTGTCCTCCGGGTTCGCAAAGACCTTCCTTCAGGGAACAGTACCAGTAAAAAGAATGGCTGACAGAGAAAACGATGGGAATGAACGGGCTGGTCATTGATAGAGGTTCCATCCAAGGCAAAAATAAAAAACAGAAGAATGGAGAAATACTGTCGAAAAATCTTGCGTGGTGCCCCAACATTGTAAGGGATAGGTGAAGAGTTGGCCAGTCAATAGAAGATCATGTATCATTCTTAGGTTGCCAACTCTTAAACATTTAAAACATTGAGAGAAATGCAGGAATATAGGGAAGGGAAAGCGTGGGAAAAGTGGTCGAGAGGCCAGGTGCGCTTGAACTTAGCTTGGCTCGAGGTTCGACACCCGACTCGGGCAGAGTAGTGTTTACTGCGCGCCTAAAGGGAGCACGGAAAACCAACTCCTAGATGCCCCACTGGTCCACAAATGAGATTGGAGCAAAAGCATGAAAATAGCGCTATATAAAAGCTATAATAATAATGTGACAGGAATAACTTTTTTATGAATGGCACATTCAAATACCGGTAATGTGTCTGTGGTTAGATTAGACCACCCCAATTTTTTTTTTAAAAAAGGCAAACCTCTATTCCCGTATTCCAAATAGCGTAGCCGGTTGGTGAGCTCAACAGGCTATTCGCGGCCCATAATTTACCCACCTTTGGTGGAGAATGTAACACATTTAGTTAGTAAAAAATTATTTTTTTTTAAAAATCACTTTTAGAGCTTGCGTTCTATGGAGCAGATATTTAGGTCATTTGTTTCTATGGTCAAGGGTTAACAAGCAGGGTGTCAGGTGACCAGCACGATGACCAACCGCTTTTACTTTCCCCCCAACTATTGTCAGGTAAGGGTAGCCATTAGAGTGTAACATATTTAACCTGAAGCCAATTCCGTTATGGCTACACATTTAATTTTTTACAAAAATGTTAAATTGCTAGTTTTGGCTGCTTATAGCTTGTAGCAATGGTACATTATAAAATATAAAACACTGTTTAACATAACACACATATCTGATATTCCATTACACTAATTTTATTGCAATACAAAACTTTTCTAAACAAGTTTTTATGGCACCCGCCTATTAAACAGATGTTCAAAAAAATTATTAAAAAAAAGAGCACTAATAGGCCTACAATCAAATAATTTAAAATACAAAATGAAATACAAACTTAGATAAGATGTACAGGCTATATATAGGACAGGATTGTAAAGTACTGGATATATTTCTTTTTAAATTGTAAAGAGATGAACATTTTGTATTTTATTTAAAAGTTGTGTTTATTTTTGCACAATTATATGAACAAACAATTAGTTGATGATTATAAGCACAAGGTCAAACCAACAAGTCAACTTTGACTACCTTGAGAAACAGTGCATAAATAAAAATATTCTATGTTAGATAATGAGCTTTTGGTCATTTAATTGCTACATTTCTTTGATACTTTTCTCTCTGAAACATAAGTGCCCAGTACATAAAAAAAAAACATTTGTTAATGACTTAGTGCTCAGAAAGGGCCTTCTCAGCATCTTTACAGTCATCAGAAAACCCCGCCTGCGCTGGCTGTGACATGTTCGCCGAATGGAGGACAATCGTATTCCAAAAATCATTTATGCAGGCAACTCGTGTCTGGCTCAAAAAAACTTGACACCCCCCCCCCCCCCACCTCCGTTACGTAGATGTGATAAAACGGGATTTAAAATCAGTGAACATTGATACTAACCATTGGGAAGACATAGCACTAGACCGCACTAGTTGGAGAGAGACAGTGACCAAGAGAGCTATGGACAGCGAGAAAACAATTAACTTTTTTTTATAAGTATTAATTAAGCTGGTTTTTTTTGTTTGTTTGTTTTTTTAAATATGAAACATTAAAAAATTCTTTCAGACATGTGACATTCAGTTTTTCACTAGTATGAACCAATATAAGTTTGGAAAAAATATTTTTGCACTGAAATGTTTCTTTTACCAGTTTAAATCAGTTGGTGTTTTTTTTTTAATATGAATATAGTGAGAATTCTTGAAGACTTACATGACATTTAATTAAGAGTTTTCATTAGTATGACTAACTTGGTGAGCCATTACATTGACATTCAAATGTTGTTTTTTTTTCAGAATGAACCAGTTGATGAGATCTTAAGTGTGCAGCCTGTGTGAATCTTTTTTTACAAATTTGACATTGATGTGGTTTTTCACCAGTATGAATCAAAAGGTGAGATTTGTAATTTGAAGAATGATGAAATTCTCTTGGACATAATTGACATTTAAAAGATTTTTCACTAGTATGAACAGCTTGGTGAACTTTTAATTGTGAAGATAGAGCAAATTCTTTGAAACATATTTGACATTTAAATGGCTTTCCACTAGTATGAATAGCTTGGTGATATTTTAAGCGTGAAGAGTGAGAAAATCCTTTTTGACATATCTGACATTTAAAAGGTTTATCACTAGTGTGAACAAATTGATGAGATCGTAAATGTGAAGCTTGAGTGAATGCTTTTTGACATATTTGACATTTATGTGGTTTTTTCCCAGTATGAATCAAAAGGTGCGCTTTGTAATCTGCAGAACGAGAAAATTCTCTTGGACATGTTTGACATTTAAATGGCTTTTCAGTAGTATGGACCACTTGGTGACTTCTCAGTCCAGAAGGATAAGAAAATTCTTTGAGACATATTTGACATTTAAATGGTTTATCACCAGTATGAGCCACTAGATGATTTCTTAATTGTGAAGGTTGCGTGAATACTTTATGACAAATGTGACATTTATGTGGTTGTTCACCATGAGTCACTAGATGAGCTTTGAAATCTGAAGATCGAGAAAATCCTCTTGGGCATAATTGACATTTAAATGGTTTTTCATTAGAATGAACCACTTGGTGATATTTTAATCGTGAAGAGTTAGAAAATCCTTTTAGACATATTTGACATTTAAATGGTTTATCACCAGTATGAACCACTTGATGAGATCTTAAATGTGAAGCTTGAGTGAATCCTTTTTGACATATTTGACATTTATGAGGTCTTTCGCCTGTATGAACAACTTGGTGAGCTTTCAAATAAGAAGGTTTAGTAAAGTCTTTAAGACAAATTTGACATTTAAATTTTTTTTTTTCAGTTTTTATCCGCCGTTGTTTTTTTAACTGAGTAGGATCAGAAAATACTTTAAGACAAATTTGACATTGAAATGATTTTGGACCAGTATAAATCAGCTGGTGTAGATGATTAGGTTCAGGAAATCCTATGAGACATTTTCTTTCAATTTCATCACATATCTTTTTACCTAAATTAATTTCTTTAGAATAGTCTTCAACCATTCTATCTTGTATATTATCAGTGAGTACATTTACATCTGAAGTTGTGTCCTTTACTTCATTAATGACCTCCACCTGTTTTAAAACAAAACATGTTTCATAAAAATTCTGCTATAATATAATATTAAGATTTTTAGAGTAATCACTAAAACATTTCTTTCATTACAAATGAAAACTTTTAAAATAAAATTAGTCTCACCATTGAAAGTATTGTATGTAATAATAATAATAATTGTATTTATAAAGTGCTGTTAACAAGCAAAATGTAGGCTCAAGGTGCGCAATAACATTACAAACACAAACACGAGAGCTAAAATGACAAACTAAACTAAAAACATTTTAAAAAGGTAGGTCTTATTTTAAATGAAATAGAAAGAGAAACTCAGGAATTTTTTGCTATGGAATAAGATCAACATTATTTTTTTTAAACAGTCATTTGATGATTTTGCAAAACCTTTACAGATATATAAAAAAATTAATCTTTGCCATCTTAGGTATCAAAAATACAATTATTTTTATATGTACAAAATATCTGTCTGTGGCATTTTACGTCTCGAGAGACGATCTTTTCCCTTTGCAACTTCTTGTGTGACTAAAGAGGCCAATCCTTGATACACAGCTGCGATCGCAGGTTGGGCATATATAATCACCAGGCGCCGTTGCATTTTCACCCTTCTTTCTGCTTCTGTTGTGTATGGCATCTGCAATCTTTGACCCTTCCTTTATGCTCTCTCTCCATGAGGATCTGTCCATTGCCACCTCTTCCCAGTTGCCAGTGTCAATTTTGAAGAGCTTCATGTCGCGTTTGCATACATCCGTATAACGTAAAAGTGGGCGACCAGCGGCTCTCCTGCCTTCTATTAGATCGCCATACAGGATGTCCTGTGGAAGTGGACCTTCTGGCATTCTACGAACGTGGCCAAGCCAGCCAAGGCGTCTGCTGCTGATAACAGAGCGGATGTCCTGGCACCCTGCTCTTTGTAGCACTTCCTCATTGGTTATCTTATCTTGCCACCTTATTTTAAAGATCCGCCTTAGGCATCGGAGGTGGAAAACATTCAGCTTTTTTCCTGCCATGAGTAGGTTGACCATGTTTCACTTCCGTACAGCAAGTTGCTCAACACACAGGTCCGGTAGACTAGGGCTTTAGTACTGTTAGTCAGCAATATGTTGTCCCAGACTCTTTTCTGCAGCCGTGACATGGTGGCCATTGCCTTGGCTATCCTGTTGTTTATGTCTTTATCCAGTAGAGTGTTGTTGGATATGATGGAGCCAAGGTAACAAAAGTGATCAACAATTTCTAGTGGTTGGCCATTAATGCTTACTTGAGGTGCAGTGTTTGTGTTTTGGACAAGTATCTTAGTCTTGCTTTGACTGATGTTTAAGCCGAACTTCTGGCAAGCAGCAGATAATTTGTCAACCAGGCACTGTAGCTGAATATCAGAATCAGCCACAATAGCTGCATCATCAGCATACAGGAGTTCCCTGACGAGTAGCTTCCTAACCTTGGTTTTTGCCCGCAGCCTTGATACATTAAATAGTTTTCCAGAGGATCTTGTATGGAGAAACACACCTTCGTTTATGTCGTTGTACGCATAATGCAGTAGACAGGAGAAGAATATGCCAAACAGAGTAGGTGCGAGCACACATCCCTGCTTGACACCACTGCAAAACTCAAAAGGTGCTGATTGGGCTCCATTGAATTTGACAGTGCATGTACATCCACCAGCAATGGAGAGGTCACTCCATGTACAAAATAAGGCGTAAACATATCTGCCATTATCTAACAGAAATGGTTATACATGATTAAATGTTGTCATTAAATGTTTGTCACAAATACTGTCATCACTGATTTTGCTAAAGTTTAAGACCATCCAATTAGAAAGAGTTTTTGACTGATAAGCAAACAAAAATAATTAGCTATAACAAATTCTAACATTGTTTTAATAGAAGCATCCTATATTGTTTATCTAGCATCACTAGAAGTAATAAGTCTCTTTATGTAAACTAAAAGAAAACAAAACAATATACAACTACCATTTAAACTTCAAAGGTTCCTAAAGAACTTGATTGGATGAGGATTAGTTTTTAACGAAGAATTATGTCATTTTAAGGCTAAGTGATAATAAAAATATTTGGTTTCAGAATATTGCAAATTTTAAAGTAATTTTATTTTATACATGAATAGTCCAAAACTTTTCCTCTAAATATAATTTTTATAGATTACAGATGTTACTTCAAAAAAAAAAAAAAAAGATAATTACTTCCTTTGCATTTCATGTGTTAATCTAGTCATGCATGTTAATCTCTGTTTTGTCACTGGTTTTCAGGGTTTGGGTATGCTGCAGAGTTCCAACAATGGACCTCATTCACCAATCGTAAACAAACAACATTTAGCCACGTGGTGCTTTATCTCTTCTATATAATTTACGATCTCATGTTTAATTCATGATGGTTGTCACGTGACAGTTTGTTTCCATTGTTTTATCAATAAGATCACATGACTAAACGTTGTTTGTTTACGATTGGTGAAAGAGGTCCATTGTATTGATCATCTCCAGTTCTGATCGTCTTCCTCATCATGTTTTTTTGTTTTTTACTGCAGCCTCAGCTTTTTATTATTAAATGTACTACACTATTTTGTAAGCAAAATGGTCACTTCATGCAATGTGAACTTGTGTTTGAGTGCTCAAGTCAAAGAGTGTTAAGAGAGAAAGAGAAAAAAAGTCAAGTCTGTTCAAAGTGAATGGAAGTATAGTCAAGTTGAAGCACAGTTATTTAAGTTGAGGTCATTAGAATTAATTGATATTTAGCATCAACAGAGAATTGACACTTTGAAAAATGTTTCTGTTGGACAATCATTTTTATTGGATATTTATTAGCTAGAACGTTGCCTATATTATATTTTTGTCAATAAACAAGTTATATGTCCATGAATCTGCATACTGACTCATCATTTATATCTTCATATACAAAACATCAGTAATTATATTCTGATGCCACCAGTTACATATGGTAGTCAGAATTGAAGTAATGGTACACATACATAAAACAACGTATGGTTACAGTGTTGACATAATGAATGGAGAGATCTGACAAATAAGTTAAAGAACTGCTAAAAAAAAGAATGTATGAAAGATACATTGTATTCTAATTACGGTTATTTGAAAAAAAAAAAAGTTTCTTCAGCATTTGGATAATAAAAACTGGCCAGTTCTTCTACTTGCATATCAATATAGACATTTTTGTACTAAACATGTAGCTGGCATACTTAAATTTTTGCTACTCTCTCTTTTAAAACAACAATATTTACCCGACTTACTGACACTTCTGAACTTTAGGTCTTACAAGGGGATTTGAAATTAGGCATAATGTTAGGTACAGGAGAAAGACTGGTGTTTACCTTCACTGACACAGCTAGTTGTCCTGAAGGCATGGACTGTACTCTATTACTATCTGTGACATTAGTCCTTTCAATCTCTTTCTTTATAGTATTTTCCTGTAAAACATTAACAGATTTACAAATAGCAGAGGAAATAACACAATTTATCATCAAAAATATACAAGTTATCTGTAAATACACATTCTAAACAATTTTTAGGCAAAGTAAGAAATAAAGAAGCATTTCCTAGTTTGGTTGAAAATTCCAGAAAATCTATAGATTGAAACTTTGCACTTTGCTGCTAATGTATGCATAAACATATATATATGTAAAGTTATTTTCAAAAAATATAAATATTTTTTTTCTTTTTTTCTAACAAAAAAAAAGTTATTCATGTTTTTTTAAAAAATATTTTTAGTAGATTAGATCTATCCAACTGGTGATCCAGTTAGAGCTAAAAGTGATAAAAACTAAAGTACTAATTTACTTAAGCTTTATTTGAAAGGGTAAAAATATTATCCTGTAGTCAATTTCAACTTTTGGAAATAACAGTAAATAAGATTTGTTTCCTTTTTTTTTTGTTTCATGTATGATGCTATTTAGAAGTGTTTGGTGTGATATTTTTAGTGAAGATTGCAATACCTCATGCCCAAGGTTTACAGTAGAAGATTTTTCATAGTAATAGTTTTCTGTTTGTTGTGTATTCAAGTTTGATTCATCTTCATCTATCTTCTCAATTTTTATCATTGACACTTTAAAGCCTTGTTCTTCACATGGTTGTGTCAACAAATCTGTTTCTTCTATTTCCTTCTTCACATGTTTT